TATGCAAAGCTCGTTTCAGTCAAATTTGTGCGAAGGAGTGAACGATTTCGTACAACGAAACGCAGAAATTTGTGCCAAAAATTTGACTGCTTCACCTTGGAGATCCCAGCTCACGCCACTGGCGGGCGTCCTTGTGCCTCCTCGACGTCAAGGTCCACTCTATTTGCCGAAAATGAAAGACCCCCCCCCCCTCCCTCCCTTCTGCAGTTCGCACGTGGCCCGTTTACTTACCAGCGCCAGCCCGGCGGAAGTGGTCACGATGGTGGAGGCAAACATGGAGGTGTTCTTAAGGTGGTGCACGCTGTGTCCACCGATGTACGTCATGTCGTTCCCTGCGAACACGGCGGTGTCAGATGCGGGGGGGGGGGGGGGGGGGGGGGGGGCTCGTGATGGCTGCCGCACCCTCCACTCACTCACCGGTCATGTCCAGGCGGATGTCGGAGCACTGAGGCTGGCTCAGGCCCAGCATGTCCAGGCGGCAGCGGTGCAGCGCGCCCGGCTCCAGGATGTCGGGCCGGCTCGGCCACTCGCCGCGCGGCTCGCCGACGAGCAGCCTGTAAAGGTTCGAGAGCGCGCGTCAGGAGTGCGAGGGCAACTCTTTAAGTACTCTACTGCCGGCGCCTCGGTGGAGTATACTGACTGTGCCGGGGTGAGCGCCACGCTGTAGCCGAACAGGAGGTCGTCCGCGCCCGTCGGGGACACGACGACCACGGCGTGGTGCAGGTCCACGTTGAAGGCGCCGGTGCCCAGGGCGAGCGCGACCGCGGCCACGACGACAGCCCTCAGGTGCATGGCTGTGGACGAGGACGGCGTCGGGGACGGCGGGCCTCGGGGCGACGCGTGCACTGTGACCGACCGGCGAGGTCTGTGCTGGCGGGCTGGGCGCTGGGCCTGTCTTGCGCGCGTCAAGTCCAGTGTGAAAATGTGTGTGTGAGCGTGTGGGTGGGTTAGTAAGAGAGAAGGAGAGAGAGCGAGCGAGCGAGCGAGAGCGCGCCTTATCCGCAGTCCATTAGCGAAAACACCCAGCGCTCCGCCTTCCTAAAAGCCACTCCACACCTACTTGTTGTGATTCACGTTTTCTCCTGGAGGCGACTCACCTCACAAGAATAAACCCACTATCAGACTAGACCCCAGTGCGAATAGTTACTTTCCATAAACTGTGATGTACAAACCAAAATATCCATAATCCTCAAATGAATCTGGGCGTGTCACAAATTTCTC